CGTGGAGAGCAACTACGACGATAAAAATGCGTAATGCTGTATAAGAAATAATGGCAGGTGAGGAGCTCCACTATTGGACTTCTCGTTTCTAACCCGAGACAACGGATCGATGGCCAAGTCAGGGACTGTTTGATTTTCGCTCTGCAATGCATAGGGACAGCACTTTGCTCCACACTCTCACACCGCACTTCTGCGAAGACCTCTTATACAAACACATGACGAGACCCTTTAGTCTTTCGCTGCCTGCAGTCAAACAGGTCGTCGATCTCTGATCACTCAAGCAAAACTTGGCTCCTTCGTGTCAAGGGGAAAGCGGAGGTCTCAAGTTGTGCCTGAGTCATGCCTTGAGAACCTGCTGCAACGACATGGAGAGCAGAAATAAAGGGCACTTACGTCGTTGGGAACAGCTACAGCGACCTCGATTTCTGACCCAAACAACGCTTTCAGGATGGTGGAGTCAGCGTCAAACATCTGCAAAGTCAGAGTGAGACAGTCAGTCACTACAAGTGCACTAAGTCTCAGGGAGATTCTCTACCTCAAATTGCATCTGCGGAAGCGACTTGATGTTTGGCCTCCCCACAAAAGTAGTCAGTGCTGGGAGGTGCACAGATGCTTCGCTTGACGCTCTCTTGGAGTCTCCGCAATCAAATTTGCTGCCGTGCAATGCTTTTTCAGACTCTCTTGAAGAGCCGGCGTTCGAGGGATCCCCCACAAGGCTATGTCAAACCTTTTACATCACATCAATTGCAGAAGGAGAGTCAGTGCCGCAATGAAGCCGCATGCTCCACCTACTCTCCCTTGCAATTGTATCCTTCTTTCCCCTCACCTTGACCATCCCAATCTGCTTTTCTGTCATGAGCTTGACCGCTGCATTTGGCGTCATCGTTTTTGTGGATAGAAGGGAGCCGCCATAATTGACTCCCATGCCGGGGGGGGTCCATGACGTTGTGGCAACAGCGCAATGCTGAGTCAGCGCCACAAGTGCCCCTAGGGCTATTAGCAGCGCCACACCTTTCATACCGTCTCCCAAGGGGGGGTAAATCTCCCTTTGATGTGTGCCCCTGAACAAGTGCGTAGGATCTATCAATGACAGAAGAGGCTCTTGTAAATTCAAGTGAGTGCAAATAAGCTGGATTGGAGTTATACAGTTAAGCAAGAAACCAAGGCAGGGAGAGTTTGTTCTGCGAGGTAGAACCACAAGACCCAACTGCTGTCTGAAGGAAGAGCATTGCCTGGTGGACAAAAGCTCAGCTGAAGCAGCAAAAAGGGGCGCTCGAATGACTGTCTTAAAAGACCAAAGTTACTTCCAGGCAGGGCTCCAGCAAAGAATGCAAGCTTTGGATCTGTCGTTTTGGGCAGCACTACTCAGTCAGAGCCTGTTGAGTGCCCTTTGTTTAGATGACCTTTAACATGAGTGTTTTTCAAAGGTTCACTCGGAAAAGGATTCAATACAAAGCAAAACCAAAGTGCCCACCAGCGCTTGTGGCCAGCAAAGAATGTGAGAAGCACTGGGTACAATAAGCCACCACTAGTTGCAGAGAAAAAGAAATGTCGAGGGCGTGAGAACTTCAGCTGAGACTTTCCCTAATCAAGAGAGCAAAGAAGTTATTGCTGGTGACAGCGATCCCTGCAACATACTGTGTTAGGGGCATCCCCGCCAAGATGGTGGGCTTCGGCTAGAGAACAAACAATCTGATGAGCTCTTGTACTCTCAATGTTCATCTTACATACTTGGAGTCGCGATGCAATATAGCCTTTAGGTACGCGAGTCAACTTCAACCGAAATTTGAGTCTACCGTACATTGACCGTAGAGGCTTATCCGTAGAAGTCGGTCGACCGTACGGGCACGATGAAATTTTCTGACATTCTGGTTGGAGATTTGGGCAAGCCACCGCGCGCCCCGTGTCCAATATTTATTGTCGGTGCGTGCGGCGGTCCGGTTTTGCATACTTCTCGATTTCATGTCGACTAAGCGCATGTTGACATAAGGATAGTGCTCGGGGGTACGAACAAACCTGAAAACCTAAACCGATAGGTGACACCCGCTCCGCACCATACCCACCCTAACCCCCAGGGCCCATACCAACCCTACCCGTCCCCCGGGTGCTTTCCCGATAAAATGTCAACATGCCCTTAGTCAACATGAAATCGAAACCTATCCGGTTTGCTACAGTTAGTATATGGTTTAGCCGGATTTCGTAATCATAGGCCCGGGGGCCGGGCGCATCGAACTCCACCGTTTTGGCTGAGGTTCAAGCGCGGACCGTCGATACGAATATGTAGGGTCAAACTGCCTTCAATATCCTGCAAACTAGGCGTGCCGGGGGCTCTTGGGCCCCCGGATGCTTTGTAGTGTCAACAAAGCAGGCCAAGCACATTCCCGCATCTACTGACATTTCCAATCGGTCACCAAACTGTTGAACCTGGTGCAAACGACCTCAACTTGCACGCTCAACTTGACTGCTTGACACTAGTTGCAATATCGGCTGCGAGCTCGGCAAACTGGCCTCCAGGCCTGCATTTGTGCACCGAACGCTGCTCATAGTGTCATTTTTCATTTTCAATAACACGCTGCTGTGCTGGGATATTGACACGAACATTAGAATCGGTGCGACCACTCACAATGCTGCCTGCGAGTATCGCGTTATCGCCACCGAAAACCCGGAGGAAGTGCCAACCAATTCAGACTGCGGCTCGGCGCGGAGCCTTGACACCACATCACGGTCTGCCTCGGTCCTTAACACTAACCCAGCTGCAATGTACATGTGGAGTCTGAAACCTCGATGACGGCGTTAAGCTTACGTCACGCGACCAATCAGATCGCCGGGATGGGTCCTGAAGACTCAGTAAGAGCCCCCTAATGAATCGACTTTCCAATCTGGGAGTGACGGCTTCTGCGGCCTCCGAGTTAGGGGCGGGTCGCAACGTTCTTCAACAACGCTACCTGAGTGGTACTGATTCAAATTGATCGAACAAAAAAGGACATATTGCGGCATCTGAGGGAAACTCTCTCTCTAACCACGTTGACCAGCAATCGATGCCCTAGTCGCCCAACATCATTGCCGCTGCCAAGCTTCACGTCGAATCCTGCGCACTATGCGCACTACGGCCTGTGAGCTAAAACACCACGGCTGACGTCGGCATCATACATCAGCCGTCGGCGAGACCGACCGTTCGGGAATCAATCTTATGCCGTACATCAAAGCCGCGAAGCACTTTTCAGCGGTCGGAAAAGGCAGTACGGCTGATGGTCGAAGAGTGGTGGAAAGATGGAAACATCGTTCTAAAATCCGGGCTTCACAGCGGCAGAGTTCAGCCCTCCGGCCTTAATTGAGTCGTACTGGCAGTCTTGGGTTGTGGCATTTGAAAGAGTCGAAAGAGTTCCTCACGTCCGGGGCCGTCGCCCCACCACGCAGATAGTCATCATTGCCAAAATGCGGACCAGAAACTCTGCGCCCCTTCACGGATGTACGTCGTCATATATTTGCGACAGACCGGCGGGAGTTTCAAGAGGAAAGAAAAGGAAGTTCATAGGACCAGCAACCCCGGGCCAGGCTTCGATAATTGCAGCTTTGAACTGAAGGTGCGTTTGCATGACGGCGTCGTAGGCTGAGATTGAGAATTGGTAACGTCGATAGGCCCGATTCTAGTATGACAAGACATTCACAGCTCCGGCGCGGGCTGATATCGATTGGCTTCATCAACAATTGCGAAAAGGACAGACGTGCTGGCAAAGGAACCGTCAAGCCAATACTACCTTTTTGATCAGGGCCACAATCAAGGTTACGCGCTCGGTGCAGCCAAAGGTCCTATCAGATTTTTTGGTACCGCTGACGGCACTAAGACCAGACGTACATTGCAGTTTCAAGCGGCGGCTGAAGTGGTTAAACGACGCAAGCAGCTTGACTGCAGTGTCTTACTGCAACTCAGCTTCTCGACGGACTTGGTGGGAGTTCCATATCGTAAAAACTGCCCGGCTAGTAGCATCTTTTTTGACTTTCTGCATTATGACGTCACCGCTCGACATTTGCGGAGTTGCGTCCCCGAAACTCCGGGCCGGTGATAGCCGGGAAAAAGGGACGTGCGTTCAAGACTCCGAGTCAAAGAGATCACGACGATCTCGTGCTTATCGTGCTGCCAAGCTACTACGAAGTATACGGATTGCTGGTTCAAAACGTCGTAGTGCGTCTCAGCGTCTCCTCACTTATATCTCTAGTCCGTTATGCAAATAAGGCAGCCGCCCCCGGCCCAGCGTTATGTACAAGTTGGACGAATTCCCGGTGAGCAAACTTAGTCGAATCCTCCGCAAATATGGACCCGGCCCGGAATTCAAAGAGCCCGTGATCAGAGATCACTTAGCGAGCTGCTTGGAAGAAGGTTCTGTGGCACCTATCTTGATCGGAGGCGTTGCCACACAGCTTTCCGGGACGCTGAAATGGGAGATAATCAAGCGGCAGAAGCTGGCGGCGCCGCGGCCCGCAGCGCCGCCAAACACATACGTGCAGGAAGAAATGAGGCGTACGGCATAAGTAGACTTGAGAAATGGGAGTTGTGACCACAGTCTACGAAGTAGGGTCAGGCCGCCAGCTGTCTTCACTGACGGGGAAGCGACGGCCACGAAAGTTTCGTTTAATGCCGCGTGGCTCTGCGGCGCTTAAACTTCCAAAGTGCTTGCTTGGAAGCTGCATATGATGCGTCTTGCGATCCACTTCTTCCCAGAAAAACTGCTACCGGCATGCCCAGAAGGCCGCTAAGTTTCCTCGCAAAACCACCGAGTTGCTGACGTCACAAGGAGGGTTTGAACACTCGCCCTCGCCGAGCAGCGCACTCGAGCGGCAGAATCTGAGCAGGATTCTGAGAGGCACGGTTCGTGATGATCAGAAGCAGGGACACAGAAGCGGCAGAAGCGCGCGGCCGCTTGCGGCGTCCTGGAAGTTGCCGACAACAAAACAGTACTAATACAGCGTTGCGCCCGGCATCAGTACTAGATCGATCGTATCTTGAGCCAGTGGTCTATCCACCATCATTGCCGCTCTTCTAAGTCAAGGTTAACCTGGGCCACCTTTGAGCACCAGGACAATATTTAAACAAGATCGGCCCGCGGTGACGTGAGTGAAACCGGCGTTAACCAACAGCAGTCATTCTCGAAATGTTGCTCTGATGTAATACGTCAAGCGCACTCACGCCCGTTTTTTCTCGCGCACACGACTTACGCGATCAAGCTTCTACGAGAAGCTTATTGATGCCCCCTTCAGGTTTCTCGCAAAAAATCGTTTTGTGTGGAATCTGATCATCAAACCCGTTCCGAATCGTCGAGAAGCGGCAATCTGATGAAGAACCTACACCAATGGCCGCACGCCAATGAGGCCAGACCATCGTCGTCATCGCCGCTCTCTGGTTACTCAAAAGAGAAAACGGGTCTGTTGACGCACCATCTCCTGATGGGGCCCATTGATCAGCATCGACTTCTAGTGCGCTAAAGAACATCAGAGACCCACATTGCGGGCTGCAGGGGCACCATCTTACTCGGCGCGACGCTCAAGCGGTTGGGAGCAGAGCCAAGACAGCAGCTAGCCTCCCGGCCGGCCTGCAACCCGGATGGAATCAGAGCATGCAGATGTGAATTAGAATCGAGAGGGAAAAGCAGACCTTGCATCCGCGGAGTGTCTTCTGGTACAGTACGTGGCCTGAACTTAAGGGCCACGTCTAGATCTTCATCGCCCATCACCCAATGTTTATTAAAGTGGGCAGCTCAGAAATGTGGCAAAGAGTTACGAAGTCTTTCGAAAGTCTCTAAAAGATGGCGTAAAAGTTCAGCCAAGTGAAGGGTCCCATCTTATCGGCGAAGTCTGCCCAGTGGCACTGCGGAAAGCTGAAGTTATTGCCTAAGTTGGGCTCGGTATCGATGATAGTAATACTTCATAGACGTGGCGCTTTTGCATTAGTACTAGCCAGGCTTTTGTCACCATTGCCGCACTTCAACGAACATTCAAACACAAACGCCGCCCCGAAAAACGCGATACGCATAAACCGATACGCAAAGTTCAAACGCTTCAAACTCAGGTCGAGCCTCACAGGAGTGGTTAAGGCCTTCTCGGATGTACCGAACCAGGATCAGACATGGCCTCACGACCATGCAGGCCAGGACTATGGTGCTCGTCATCGCCGCTCTCCAGTAAGTAATCTGGTAATCAGCCCAGCAGATCATGCTCGACTCCCTTCAGCCGTCGCTGGAATGTCCAACGACTCCGGAGGTCAGCGTGAGCAATCTCGTGCGCTGTATTGGCACGGCTTTACTACCCAAGCAGACTGATACGTCGGTGCCCTCTGAGCTTGCATTCAGGGCAGCGACGTCAAAAAGACGCTGGTCACAGCTCTACTACGGTGTCTCAGGAAATCCAGAACAAGCCTTTTTTCCAGGTTTGAGCAGACATCCGTACTAAAAGGTCGAAAACCGCTCTGGCCACGAGGACCAAGCATCAGCCATCAATGCCCAGGATAAATAGTATCGATACGAGCTGCATGATTGACACGTGGCTCCGGAAGAGACGTTAACATCACCCTTAAAATCTGAAGAACATGGAACTTTATCCGACCTGACGCCTGCCAAGCTTCGTTTACGTAGCGCGGCTCTGTCGAAAAACTTGACGTGGTTGTTTACCAGATGTAATAAGGTTACAAAACGGACCGCCCAAATCCCAACGCTCAATTCAAGTTGGTCTGGCGCCTTCCTTAAAATGGCCGACTTTAAGCCTCGAGACGGGAACTTACCGTGACCAGGAGACCGGTTAAAGAAGTGGTTTGATTGCTTAGCCGCTACGTATACTGTGAGCGGCATCTCTGGGCGGAAAACGCGGACCGACAAACGGACCTATAGAAGACACGATCTACAAGCTTGCAACGCCTGATTGATTGTTTTGAGCGGTGATAACCATCTTATGTTACTAACATCGACGGTCTGGCCACGGCGCGACCCAGACTCAGTCATATGGTTGGCATTGGTTGTTTGACACGTACACGTGCTTTATATAGATTGTTGGCTGCGAGGGCCAGGCAGCTTTCCGCATGGCCTTTGGATGTTTCAAGGGAAAGCAATCTGAACCCCTGAGTGAGTTGGTCCACACCGCCCACCAAGAGTTGGCTTACTACCCGTCCGCCTCAAGGCAAAAACAGGCCGCCGGAAGGTGGACAGTGCAGACTCCAAGTACGTACTACTAGTTTCCAGGTTTAACATTCCTCATTCTTTGAAGAATGTAGATGAATATGAAAAGGAGGCAAAGTGGAAGTGCATGGCTCCGAAAGATCAGGAAAAGCTTACATTGAATGATCGGAAGATCGGGTCTCCTTCCTCATCGCCCTCAATCCAGACCAGTCAAAGGACGAAAAGCGAAGCACGTCGATTCACCAGATCTTCTGGGAGTAATCAGCTACAAGAAGCGAATTAGTCAATTGTGCGGCACGTGCCATGAGACTGAGGCGGACGACGTGCCGCTAGGAGCAAACTTAAAGGCGAGCCTGGCCACAAAGCCCAAATAAGTGTCCACCTGGCCATTATTGAGCCCTTTTGCAGGCTGAATAGTGCCCACGACGAACCAGTTGAAAGGAGATTTTCTGCTGGTCGAATTTTAGTGACGCCGCCCAAACGTCTTGAAGCAAGCACCAGATCAACTTAAAACGAAAGGGAGGATCGAACTGCCTGGTACAGTCCCGACGAAGTTGTACGCGCGAAGCTGATTTAGCTAGGGCGCAGGAACGGCTCCAGTCC